AAAAAGATTATCAAAGGTATGCTAAGTTCCTCTTTACATTCCTTTAAACCCTTGAAAAACAGTTCATGGCCGGGGGGTTTTGTTGGGTTTTTTGTTTCTCTATTTGCTGAGGCCCATGTCACTAGTTACCGCAATCGTACATAGTTTATTATCACCTGTTCAACATAAGTATTATTTCAGGAATATCGCTAGTTTTTTCCCCGGGGTGAAAATGAGAGCAGTAGGCATTTAAAATTTTCACAAAGCCCTTATACTGTCATGACTGACCGATTTTACTCTTAAATGGGCCAATCTTGTCCCTAATCTTACTTCTGTATACCGGAAAAAAACCCTTTTGGGTTAGTCTTTGAATCCCTTGTGACCTTGCCCCATAATCCCTTTTTGCTTTTTTTTTCCTTTTTTTTTTTCTCTTTTAATTGTTATATTGATTTTTTAAATCCCCATTCCCTCTTTTGATACGCCTATATACCTTTTTTTTGCCCAAATGAGATTTTTAATTATTGTTCACCCCTTTTGGGACATTTTTTTTAATCTAATTTCCCTATGGGAACAAAAGTTGTCGGGGCAGCTAGAATATCTTAAAAATTATATTGGCAACCAAGATCCCCTCCCTGCCCCATATGGACACCCCAAATTTAGCCCACCCGGGAAATTTTCAGTCCCCCTAGGTAATCTACACATACGCTGCATGTATGAAATTTATTTTTTTGTGTACCTGAATGAACTTATTTTTCCACTTTTAATCCTTTTGTAAGCAAGTTATTTAGATAGGGGAAAGCATTACTTGCTGTGTAAATTCCCTAGAAAACCCAAAGTTGAAGTACCTTAGTTCAATTTTAATTATCTCGAAATGTTGCATACCAGGGGTTTCCCTTTTGGCCTACCTGAGTTTTTTTTACGTGTTTTTGGGAAAATTTTATTCGGCCAAAGCCCACCCAAAATCCCCGGTAATGAAGGCCCTTTTAACATTCCCCGGTGGAAGTGGGGGGGGCCCTTTTAAAAAAACTTATTAAAAGGGTGGGAAGGTGGGTGGGAAAGGACATTTTAATTATAGACTACCCTTAAGAGGTGGTAGTTTATAGTTAAACAAAATTTTTAGGATATTGGGAACTGTTATAATTTAAATTTAAAGACCTTAAGGGTGGGAATACAAGGAAACCTGGATAAACGGGTTTATATAAAGCCTGGGAAAAAAATTCAAAAAAGCATAATTTTGGGAAAAATTTTGCCCCTTAAAGGGTTGAAAAAGAAGAACTAAGGATGAAAATACTGAAAAATTAGAAAATAGAAACAGAAAGTCTAAAAAATTTAAAAAAAAAAAAAAAAAAAAATAAAAAAAAATAAACAATAAAAAAAAAAAAAAAAAAAAAATAAAAAAAAAAAAAAAAAAAAAAAAAAAAAAAAAAAAACGTTGGGGTATAGCCTAACCAGTGTGGGTCTAACAAGTACTCACTATCGATAATGAGGTAGCCAGGGAAACATTAAGGTGGCAAATTGCTTTAATTCCTACTCCTCTGTTGCATCAACATAGTAAGTAAACTTCCAGCTGCATCAAATACCTTTAACACAGATTTGATAAGTTTAATCTACTATCCAAAAAAGGGGTAACCCAAAACAGTTGAACTAGAAAGTGTATTCATGATTAATTCAAAAAAGAATAAGGGGTTTAAAAACCCAACGAAGAGCACAGGCCCTGATAACATCCGTTAATTTCCTAAAGATGGTGCTTCTAAACGTCATCCCTATTTCTCACATAAAAAAATCTATCAATAACCATAAAACCGTACCGAGGGGTTCAAAGGGGGCCCCGAGTTACTCCTATCTTCAAGAAAAAAAATAGGGCTGATGTAAGCAAAATATAGACCTGTTGTAAACCCGTTAATTTAAAATTCTGGGAGGGCGGTGTTTTCTAAGTGTTAAATACCTTAATGACAACAACATTCTCCATACTATCATCGGGCTTAGAAAATCCTACTCAACCGATACCCCCCTTATTAAAATGATGGATTACCTGAGAACGAAAGTCAAAAGAGAACCTCATAGGGATGGTAAACCCTTGACCTGCAAAAGGGCCCTTTTATCTGTCAACCAAATATTATGTAAGAAAAATTTTAAGCTATCGGTTAGGTTCTGTAGATGGGTTTTAAGTCCTCCTTTGAACAGGGGACAAAAGTCAAAATCAAAAAAACGGAAAACAAACCCCCGCCCATAAAAAAGTGGAGTTCCCCCAAAGGGGTATTCGGGTCCCTTTTTATTCTTATTTTTTGTCAATGATATCCTTCAGTTCAAGTGCAAACTCCCCTTATGCAGATGACGTGCTCTGTTAGGACAAAAGACCCCCAAAATATTGCTAATGTTTTTTAAAACCCGGAAAATGGGGCCGCGCAAATGGTTGTAACAACAAACTTCATTACACCTAGGGAAAACTGAAGCCATTTCTTTGGAAAGAAACATAAACTGGAAGGGTAAATAAATTTTAAAAGTTCATGTAATGGGGAGTCCTCACTTTGGTTTATCAGTAAAAAATCTGGGAAACCCTTTACCATGCTGTCAGGAGAATTTTAAGGGAACAGGTATAAAGAAAACGAATGCCAGATGAAGCCTGTATAGACAAGCACGTGTCTACCTACGAGGGGTCGCGGACCCTAGTCTAGCCCTTATCAATGCCATATGGATTACCTTGCTTTCTTGGTACTTCCTTGACAAAAAAAAATGAAAGTAGACTGAAATCACCCAGAACAAAAAACGTAAATTCATCCTGGGGCTGGGACCCAAAAAACATGTAGGGGGCCCGGTGAATTACACGTTGGATAGCTGAATTTGAAGACGAGTAAAACAATGAAACTAAATCATGTTTATAAAATTGCTCACAAACAGTGTCCCGGGAAAACTTTCTGCAATTTTGTCAAGGGGGAACCAAAAACAATCATGTATAGGGGGGAGAGAGCACACTTTGTAGTACCCATAGTAGTGGCCAGGGTCAAACACCCTTTTTTTGTAACAAAAAAGGAAAGGAACAGACTACCCGCACTGTCAAAGCCAGTTTAGCTGAACCCTTCAAAAAGACGCAAAAAAGGGGGTTTTATGAATGTGCTACAGAAAGGGAGGGGAATGATTTTCTATTTTTTAGCTAAAATACGTGTAAATTTTACCTTATTCCTAGTAATGACCCTCGTATTGTAGATAGTCTTAATGACCCTCGTGTAGTAGATAGTCTTTTTAGTATGATAATAAGATGTTATCTTCATTGTAGAATAATAAGAAAATATTATAACCTTTATATTATAATAATAAGGTAAAAGGACCCCATTGGAAATAAGTCACTCTGTCTGACTTTTTTGGGTTATCCTAGGTTCTCTACACATATGCTGCTATGTATGATAATTCTATGTATCTGTATTTGTGTATACCTGAATAAACTTACTTACTTACTTACTAGGGAGAACTGGCAGCTCAAGTTTGAACGTCCAGGCACAGGGTTTTGAGACACCAGTGCCTCGTTTGTCGAAATTCCGAGCGAGGCACACTGCCATGAACAGCAGGGCGGCACCCCATGGGTCTACACATACTAGGCCCTGGGGAAATCTGGTGGAGGCACATCGAAGTACCGTAGATGACCTCCTCCGTCAGGCCCATACAGTAAGACAAGACCCCTTTTCTCAGTATTCTGGCCAGTTTCTGGGGGAAATTGCGAGTGAGTTGAGCTGTGGGTCTTTGTGCAGCCGGACGGGCCGAAGTTAGTTTAATATGTTTATTATGCACCCCATACCCATCCTGTGGGCGGTAGTCAAAATATTAGAGGTACATAATTGGTCCAGGGACTGGACTCCAAAGTTTTGATAGCTGAGCAAGTTACAGAGGTAATGAATTCACAATTTACAAAGGTAATGAACTCACAGTTTACAAAGGTAATGAACTCCAGGTAGGTGTGGTCACAATCATGACAAGTTACAAAGGTATTTACAGATTACAGAGGTATGTAATGGGTCCAGGGACTGGGCCCCCAAAGTTTTGATAGCTGAACTAGGTACAAAGGTAATGAACTCACAAGTTACAAAGGAAGACCAGTACATACCAGTGTCCCCTCGTTAAAGAAGCTAGTGTCACTTCCTGCATAGTTATACTAGGGGATACTCACCCCCTTGGAAACAGGAATTTCTGAGGTGCAGGCAGGTCATTAATACCGACTGAATATGCAGGAATTAGGTTCCCGGCTGCACATGGATTTGAAGGGGAAGTCCAGAGGGGCTAAAGCTTAGGGAGGTTGAAGACCAGGATATATTCTCCAACACCAAGTAAGTTAGCCCTTTATTCATGAATGCAGGCGAGATTTCTTGCAACATCAGTCATTTATGGAAATGTGTCATATAAGCCACTTGTGAGGCTGAGGTACCCACCTCAGGGCTGGTGTCAACACAGCTTGCCAGGGTAGACAACTCACATGGAGGCAGTCCAGACAAATTTCCACACATGTAAACTGTTTTTTCCTATAGTATAGAGAGAAATGTAAATACGTATTTGAATATGAATTTGACCTGTTAGTTTAATATATTATGTACCCCAGACCCATCCTGTGGGTGGTAGTCCCCTCAAGGGAGGTTCCTTGATGCTGGTGAGGGGTTCTTGATCTAGGAAATTGAATCTGTGCTCCAGTTCCCTGAATTGTCTGAATACCTTCCATCCCCCCCCACATGTGCTGCATAATCCTACAGGTTAAGTGCTCCCCCATGATTATAATATGGGTGTAGTCAAAAAGATAAGTACATAATAGGTCCAGGGACTCTACCTCAACATTAGAGGTACATATTGGTTCCAGGGACTGTTCCTCAACATTATTGAGGTACATAACACTGCTACATACCACCTGCTACATACAGTTATCATACATAATGTAAATTACCCACAATAACCCCAAAAAGTCAGTGACTTACTTCCATTGTGATCTTTATTTTCCATTAGGATCCTTGATTCTCATTGAGTTCTTGATTTTTTCATTATAGTCCTTTATTCCCATTGGGGTCCTTGATATCCATTAGGGTGAATATGAGAGGTCATTGTTGTGGAGGCCCATGTGAGAGGTCATTGTCATGGAGGCCTATGTGAGAAAGGGAATCCACAACATTTTAACTGTAATCCCTGAAATATTGTGCCAAGTTTCCTACACAGTTTCGCTGTATTAAGGTCTTTGCATATGTAGATCAAGTATTTATTTATTTATTATCACACTGGCCGATTCCCACCAAGGCAGGGTGGCCCGAAAAAGAAAAACTTTCACCATCATTCACTCCATCACTGTCTTGCCAGAAGGGTGCTTTACACTACAGTTTTTAAACTGCAACATTAACACCCCTCCTTCAGAGTGCAGGCACTGTACTTCCCATCTCCAGGACTCAAGTAATAAACTTGAATATTCCACTCATTACATTGATGAACTAACAATACAGTATTTACCTATGATGTACCTTTAAATTCCAAGAGTTTTTATTTTCCCCCGAGTGTGACCTTTGGCTAGTTTTGTCTGGTGCTTGCCTGATGGACCAGGATGTTGAAACTGGTGGATATATAATTTGTTTTGACTTTCAAAAAAGCCATCTTCAGTCATGACTGCCACCTGAAAATCCCCTTCACAACAGAAAACTATTAATGTGGAGTAATCTACCCACTACATGATCTGAGGTTGTACTATTAGCATGCTTCTTGCAGGACAGTAATAGTGAGCGATGTTGAAAATGTTTAGCTTCATGGTCATCCTACCTCAGTGGGAGATGGGCAGTGTGTTATAAAAAAAAATAAAAGGTGTTGTGAGGTTATTGGAAATTTTGATTGGCTTGGGCCTGGCCTGTCTGGCACCTCAGAGTTAAGCTCATGTTATGAGTTGTCAGATTAGAGCCCTACCCCAATATTTGTGTTATACAGTATTGTAGAAACATAGGGATTGAGTTGGATATGAGAATCTATAAAATGACCTAAAATCATTTATAACTTAAAAGTTGCTGTGCAAACAATTACCCATTCCAGTTACAGACAACACACTCCCCCAGAACTTGAACCTGTTTAATAAACAAAATATGCAGAGGAGAGAGAGAGAGATTTTGGGAGACGTTAAGTGAATGTATAGGAGCCTTTGAACCAAGTGAGAGAGTAATTGTGGTAGGGGACTTGAATGCTAAAGTAGGAGAAACTTTTAGAGAGGGTGTGGTAGGTAAGTTTGGGGTGCCAGGTGTAAATGATAATGGGAGCCCTTTGATTGAACTTTGTATAGAAAGGGGTTTAGTTATAGGTAATACATATTTTAAGAAAAAGAGGATAAATAAGTATACAAGATATGATGTAGGGCGAAATGACAGTAGTTTGTTGGATTATGTATTGGTAGATAAAAGACTGTTGAGTAGACTTCAGGATGTACATGTTTATAGAGGGGCCACAGATATATCAGATCACTTTCTAGTTGTAGCTACACTGAGAGTAAAAGGCAGATGGGATACAAGGAGAATAGAAGCATCAGGGAAGAGAGAGGTGAAGTTTTATAAACTAAAAGAAGAGGCAGTTAGGGTAAGATATAAATAGCTATTGGAGGATAGATGGGCTAATGATAGCATAGGCAATGGGGTCGAAGAGGTATGGGGTAGGTTTAAAAATGTAGTGTTAGAGTGTTCAGCAGAAGTTTGTGGTTGCAGGAAAGTGGGTGCAGGAGGGAAGAGGAGCGATTGGTGGAATAATGATGTAAAGAGAGTAGTAAGGGAGAAAAAGTTAGCATATGAGAAGTTTTTACAAAGTAGAAGTGATGCAAGGAGGGAAGAGTATATGGAGAAAAAGAGAGAGGTTTTAAAAGAGTGGTGAAGCAATGTAAAAAGAGAGCAGATGGGAGAGTGGGTGAGATGTTATCAACAAATTTTGTTGAAAATAAGAAAAAGTTTTGGAGTGAGATTAACAAGTTAAGAAAGCCTAGAGAACAAATGGATTTGTCAGTTAAAAATAGGAGAGGAGAGTTATTAAATGGAGAATTAGAGGTATTGGGAAGATGTAGGGAATATTTTGAGGAATTGTTAAATGTTGATGAAGATAGGGAAGCTGGGATTTCGTGTTTACCTGGAGACCTGGAGAGAGTTTCGGGGGTCAACGCCCCCGCGGCCCGGTCTGTGACCAGGCCTCCTGGTGGATCAGCGCCTGATCAACCAGGCTGTTGCTGCTGGCTGCACGCAAACCAACGTAGTACGAGCCACAGCCCGGCTGATCAGGAACTGACTTTAGGTGCTTGTCCAGTGCCAGCTTGAAGACTGCCAGGGGTCTGTTGGTAATCCCCCTTATGTGTGCTGGGAGGCAGTTGAACAGTCTCGGGCCCCTGACACTTATTGTATGGTCTCTTAACGTGCTAATGACACCCCTGCTTTTCATTGGGGGGATGGTGCATCGTCTGCCAAGTCTTTTGCTTTCGTAGTGAGTGATTTTCGTGTGCAAGTTCAGTACTAGTCCCTCTAGGATTTTCCAGGTGTATATAATCATGTATCTCTCCCTCCTGCGTTCCAGGAATACAGGTTTAGAAACCTCAAGCGCTCCCAGTAATTGAGGTGTTTTATCTCCGTTATGCGCGCCGTGAAAGTTCTCTGTACATTTTCTAGGTCGGCAATTTCACCTGCCTTGAAAGGTGCTGTTAGAGTGCAGCAATATTCCAGCCTAGATAGAACAAGTGACCTGAAGAGTGTCATCATGGGCTTGGCCTCCCTAGTTTTGAAGGTTTCTCATTATCCATCCTGTCATTTTTCTAGCAGATGCGATTGATACAATGTTATGGTCCTTGAAGGTGAGATCCTCCGACATAATCACTCCCAGGTCTTTGACGTTGGTGTTTCGCTCTATTTCGTGGCCAGAATTTGTTTTGTACTCTGATGAAGATTTAATTTCCTCATGTTTACCATATCTGAGTAATTGAAATTTCTCATCGTTGAACTTCATATTGTTTTCTGCAGCCCACTGAAAGATTTGGTTGATGTCCGCCTGGAGCCTTGCAGTGTCTGCAATGGAAGACACTGTCATGCAGATTCGGGTGTCATCTGCAAGGAAGAAACGGTGCTGTGGCTGACTCCTTGTCTATGTCGGATTGAGGATGAGGAACAAGATGGGAGCTAGTACTGTGCCTTGTGGAACAGAGCTTTTCACCGTAGCTGCCTCGGACTTTACTCTGTGTGACTGATACCTCTGTGTTCTGTTAGTGAGGAAATTATAGGCCATCATCAACCGACTTTTCCTGTTATTCCTTTAGCGCGCATTTTGTGCGCTATTACGCCATGGTCACACTTGTCGAAGGCTTTTGCAAAGTCTGTATTATTACATCTGCATTCTTTTTGTCTTCTAGTGCATTTAGGACCTTGTGTAGTGATCCAGTAGTTGAGACAGCAGGAGCGACTGTTCTAAACCCATGTTGCCCTGGGTTGTGTAACTGATGGGTTTCTAGATGGTGGTGATCTGCTTCTTAGGACCCTTTCGAAGATTTGTTATGATATGGGATATTAGGCTATTGGTCTGTAGTTCTTTGCTGTTGCTTTACTGCCCCCTTTGTGGAGTGGGGCTATGTTGTTGTTTTAGTAACTGAGGACGACCCCCATGTCCATGCTCCCTCTCCATAGATGGAAAGGCTCGTGATAGGGGCTTCTTGCAGTTCTTGATGACCAGAGTCCATGAGTCTGGCCCTGGGGCAGAGTGCATGGGCATGTCATTATCGCCTGTTCGAAGTCATTTGGGCGTCAGGATAACATCGGATAGGCTTGTGCTAATCAAATTTTGTGGCTCTCTCATAAAAAATTCATTTTGATCTTCGACTCTCAGTTGGTTAGCGGCTTGCTAAAAGCTGAGTCATATTGGGACTTGAGTAGCTCACTCATTTCCTTGCTGTCATCTGTGTAGGACCATCTTGTTTAAGTAGGGGCCCAATACTGGGCGTTGTTCTCGATTTTGATTTGGCATAGGAGAAGAAATTACTTTGGGTTTCTTTCGATTTCATTTATAGCTTTAGTTCTTCCGCGATTTCTGACTCTAAAGGATTCTTTTAGCTTAAGTTCGATGCTTGCTATTTCTCTGACCAGTGTCTCCCTGCGCATTTCAGATATATTGACCTCTTTTAGCCGCTCTGTTATTCTTTTCCGTCGCCTGTAAAGGGAGCGCCTGTCTCTTTCTATTTTACATCTACTACTCCTTTTTCTTAGAGGAATAAGCCTTGTGCATACATCGAGTGCCACCGAGTTAATCTGTTCTAGGCATAAGTTTGGGTCTGTGTTGCTTAGTATATCTTTCCAGCTTATATCGGTTAGGACTTGGTTTACTTGGTCCCACTTTATGTTTTTGTTATTGAAGTTGAATTTGGTGAATGCTCCCTCGGACTAGTCTCATTTTGTCGGTCTGGGGCTCCTCGCATACATGTCTGAACCTCAATTATGTTGTGATCTGAGTATATTGTTTTTGATATGGTGACATTTCTTATCAGATCATCATTGTTAGTGAATATGAGGTCTAGTGTATTCTCCAGTCTAGTAGGCTCTATTATTTGCTGGTTTAAATTGAATTTTGTGCAGAGATTTAAAAGCTCGTGTGAGTGTGAGTTTTCATCAGAGCTGCCTCCTGGTGTTATTACTGCAACAATATTATTTGCTATATTCTCCATTTTAGGTGCCTTAAGTTGAAATCCCCCAGGAGCAAGATGTTGGGTGCAGGAGCTGGAAGATTTTCCAGACAGTGGTCAATTTTTAACAGCTGTTCTGGAATTGCTGGGATGTTGCATCCGGAGGCTTGTAGACTACCACAATGACTAGGTTTTGGTTCTCGACTTTACTGCTAAAACTTCCACTACGTCATTTGAGGCATTAAGCAGTTCTGTGCAAACAAGTGACTCTGCAATGTACAGGACAACCCCCCCCTTTTGCCTGTTCACTCTGTCACATCTGTATAGGTTGTAACCTGGGATCCATATTTCATTGTCCAAGTGATCCTTTATGTGGGTCTCAGTGAAAGCCGCGAACATTGTATAGGGCAAGGAGGAACAACATCTTGTAGGAGTGAGGAAGAGCCAGTTGTGAGTGTGGGGGAAGTTCGTGAGGCAGTAGGTAAAATGAAAGGGGGTAAGGCAGCCGGGATTGATGGGATAAAGATAGAAATGTTAAAAGCAGGTGGGGATATCGTTTTGGAGTGGTTGGTGCAATTATTTAATAAATGTATGGAAGAGGGTAAGGTACCTAGGGATTGGCAGAGAGCATGCATAGTTCCTTTGTATAAAGGCAAAAGTGATAAAAGAGAGTGCCAAAATTATAGGGGGATAAGTCTGTTGAGTATACCTGGTAAAGTGTATGGTAGAGTTATTATTGAAAGAATTAAGAGTAAGACGGAGAATAGGATAGAAGATGAACAAGGAGGCTTTAGGAAAGGTAGGGGGTGTGTGGACCAGGTGTTTACAGTGAAACATATAAGTGAACAGTATTTAGATAAGGCTAAAGAGGTCTTTGTGGCATTTATGGATTTGGAAAAGGCGTATGACAGGGTGGATAGGGGGCAATGTGGCAGATGTTGCAGGTGTATGGTGTAGGAGTAGGTTACTGAAAGCAGTGAAGAGTTTTTACGAGAATAGTGAGGCTCAAGTTAGAGTATGTAGGAAAGAGGGAAATTATTTCCCAGTAAAAGTAGGCCTTAGACAAGGATGTGTGATGTCACCATGGTTGTTTAATATATTTATAGATGGGGTTGTAAGAGAAGTAAATGCGAGGGTCTTGGCAAGAGGCGTGGAGTTAAAAGATAAAGAATCACACATAAAGTGGGAGTTGTCACAGTTGCTCTTTGCTGATGACACTGTGCTCTTGGGAGATTCTGAAGAGAAGTTGCAGAGATTGGTGGATGAATTTGGTAGGGTGTGCAAAAGAAGAAAATTGAAAGTGAATACAGGAAAGAGTAAGGTTATGAGGATAACAAAAAGATTAGGTGATGAAAGATTGGATATCAGATTGGAGGGAGAGAGTATGAGGAGGTGAATGTATTCAGATATTTGGGAGTGGACGTGTCAGCGGATGGGTCTATGAAAGATGAGGTGAATCATAGAATTGATGAGGGGAAAAGGGTGAGTGGTGCACTTAGGAGTCTGTGGGAGACAAAGAACTTTGTCCTTGGAGGCAAAGAGGGGAATGTATGAGAGTATAGTTTTACCAACACTCTTATATGGGTGTGAAGCATGGGTGAGAATGTTTGCAGCGAGGAGAAGCTGGAGGCAGTGGAGATGTCATGTCTGAGAGCAATGTGTGGTGTGAATATAATGCAAAGAATTCGTAGTTTGGAAGTTAGGAGGAGGTGCGGGATTACCAAAACTGTTGTCCAGAGGGCTGAGGAAGGGTTGTTGAGGTGGTTCGGACATGTGGAGAGAATGAAGCGAAGTAGAATGACTTCAAGAGTGTAACAGTCTGTAGTGGAAGGAAGGCGGGGTAGGGGTCGGCCTAGGAAAGGTTGGAGGGAGGGGGTAAAGGAGGTTTTGTGTGCGAGGGGCTTGGACTTCCAGCAGGCATGCGTGAGCGTGTTTGATAGGAGTGCATGGAGACAAATGGTTTTTAATACTTGACGTGCTGTTGGAGTGTGAGCAAAGTAACATTTATGAAGGGGTTCAGGGAAACCGGCAGGCCGGACTTGAGTCCTGGAGATGGGAAGTACAGTGCCTGCACTCTGAAGGAGGGGTGTTAATGTTGCAGTTTAAAAACTGTAGTGTAAAGCACCCTTCTGGCAAGACAGTGATGGAGTGAATAATGGTGAAAGTTTTTCTTTTTTGGGCCACCCTGCCTTGGTGGGAATCGGCCAGTGTGATAATAATAATAATAAAAAAATAATATGCACTCGTACTACTGTGCCTACAGTACATAGGACATTAGTTTTCAATATAAGCCTTTCTCTGAAACTTTTGCTTTTAATATGTAGGTTAAAGAAGATACAAAAAAGCTGACATCCTTACATGTCCAGCTCAACCTGTGTGAAAATTCAATGCTCATAAAAGGCCTTAAGATCTGGAACTCCATCTGAAGCATTGAAAGGTTCCCAGTCTGTTGTTAAAAAACACCATCTCCTTAGCATAATTGAGACAGCAATCGGTTATGTCTAGCAAAACCAGCTTTCATCCAGTTCTGCCACTGTATTTCCTTCAACACCCATACATAATTGATAATACATATTGTCCCATTTAATTTATATTGTAATCTAAAGTAACTTACTGTATCTTCTATATTCAGCCACCATAAAACTGAGGATCTTCGAATTAGTGTTTCGAAACAAGTCTCTTTTGTGATAGACCATTTGTCATTAGGTGTCTTATTGTAGTTAATTGCATAAGAATTCTTATTTAATATTATGTATATTAATTAACATGGCTTACGATTAGCTGGTCAAAATGCATTACATAATTTGTGGCCATCTTCTGTGCCTACCATTGTATTAATTCCTGTAAATTACATTAATATATGGTTTAGCCCTTAAACGGTCCAAACAGATCGACATTCAAATCCGTAGTGCTCCAAAAGTAGATCTATGTTTTTTTTACATATTTTCAAAAATAACAAAAAAAAAAAGTAGATAAAAGTTTTTTTTACACATTTTTAATTAAATGTAAAACAAGAAAGAAGATCTACATTTTTTTACATACTTTCAAATGTTGAAAAAACGTATGTATACGTTTGGACCATTTAAGGGTTAAAGAAAAAAAGTATTAGTGTCAAAAATACTAAATATGGTTTGTGGTGTTGCCAGACTGCTGAATAGTGGATATTGTGTGTTGCTGTATCAACACGTGAGGACCAAGACTGTTTCAACATGTAACCAAAAATACTGCTGGAACAAGTGTAGAAGTCTTCAAGAGGAAATTGGACAAGTATCTTCACCAGGTGCCAAATCAACCAGGCTGATGGAGTGGGTCAATGGATCACCAGCAGTAACATCCTGGTGGAGGAGGCAAGCACCAGATGAGCCTGACCCCTGGCTGGGCTCTGGCAGTAGAAAAACACTAAGAACTCATCAGAGGTTAAGGTTAGTTTGTCAATAGTGTGTGTGTGTGTGTGAGGAGTATATAATAATATATTATTTTTTGACATGATACATGTGTGTACAAAGTAGTATAATAGTTGGGTGTATATACCAAAAATTCCTTTATATGCAGAGCATTTTGGGCAAACTTAAAATTAACTTAAGATTAACCCTTAAATGGTCCAAATGTATATATACGTTTTTTCAACATCTGAAAGTATGTAAAAAAAGTAGATCTCTTTTGTTTTACATTTGAAAATGTGCAAAAAAACTTTTATCTACATTCTTTTTGTTACATTTGAAAATATGTTAAAAAAAGTAGATCTACTTTTGTAGCACTACGAATTTGAACGTCGATTTGTTTGGACCGTTTAAGGGTTAATAAGGCAATAGCAGTACATATGGTCATTAGACGAGTTACAATGAATACAAGAGACTTGAGTATTCTATTAAGTCATGCAATATGGCTTTAATAAGTCTTGTAGAGAAGATGTACATTTTTTATTATTAACCTTAGGCAGATACAATGGAGTGATCAATATTTGAGATGAATACAGATATTGTGAGCAAGTATATATTGATGAAAAAGTTTTACTTATGTTCATGATTTTGAGCAAATGAATGTATTGTTTTAACATATGTAATTATGATGGGCTGGGATAGGTTGAGGAGATAAGGTGTTTTTAACTGTACAGTGGACCCCCGCATAACGATTACCTCCGAATGTGACCAATTATGTAAGTGTATTTATGTAAGTGCGTTTGTACGTGTATGTTTGGGGGTCTGAAATGGACTAATCTACTTCACAATATTTCTTATGGGAACAAATTCGGTCAGTACTGGCACCTGAACATACTTCTGGAGTGAAGAAATATCGTTAACCGGGGGTCCACTGTAGTTTTAAAAATGCTAGCTGAACCAGTGGTTCTGAAGATTTCTGACAGAAAGTTCCAGATTTTGGGCCCTTATATGTATAATGAGTTTTTGAAAAGATTTAGCCTGACACAGGGAATGTCAGAGAGGCTTTTGCGCCTAGTGTTGTGTCTATGAGTCTTGTTGCAACTGCCAAGAAAGCATTTCAGGTCGGGATTTATATTAGAATTGATTGTTCTGTAAATGTAGGTTGCACAATAGTAAGAGTTAATGTTTTGTATAGTGAGTAGGTTTAGGTCTTTGAAGAGTGAGGGGGTAGTGTTGTCTAGCAGTGGATTGTGTGATCATTCACACTAAGGCTCTTTGTTGTTATTATTGATTGTAGGTGTTTTTTCGTTGTGGAACCCCAGGCACAAATAGCATAAGTGAGGTATGGGTAGATCAGTGAATAATATAGTGTAAGTAGTGCTGTTTGTGGTGCATAGTAATGTATCTTTGAGAGAATGCCAACTGTTTTAAAACTTTTTGTTATGTGTTGCATATGGGTGTTTAATTTCAGGTTGCTATCACGGCGCAGATCCAGGAATTTTCCCTCAATATGTTTAACAACAAAGATGATGATAAGCATGATGTTAAGTTGGTCCTCACTTGCTCTACTCCCAAACATAATGTAAAAGGTTTTTGTCTATATTAAGTGAAAGTTTATTGACAGTCAACCAGGTTGCTATTTTTGCGAGTTCTTCATTAACAATAGTGTTGAGTGAGGCTAGATTTGGGTGGGAGATGACAAAAGTTGTGTTGTCAGCAAAGAGACTAGGCGTAAGTTGTTGTGATATGCTTGGAAGATCGTTAGTGTATAAAAGGAAAAGGAGGGGGCCAAGAACGCTACCCTGTGGTACACCAGTGTCCAAGAGTCTTGTTGAGGAGGTTGTGTCATTGACAGACATTGCTTTCTATTAGTAAGGTAGGACTCGATAAATGCAAGCGCATGGCCTCTTATACCGTAATGATCAAGCTTGTAGAGTAGGATACTGTGATTACTGTATCAAAAGCTTTCTTAAGGTCGATAAAAAGTCCAAGAGGGTATTCATTTTTTTCCAATGATGTGTAAAGTAGATCTAGCATTTTTATTATTGCTTTAGTTTCTCCTGAAGCCAAACTGGCAAGGGTTAAGGATACTTTGTGATGTTATGAAGGAGTATAACCTTCTGTGTATGTGTTCCTCAAAGATTTTGGAGAGTAAAGGCAAGTTTGATATTGACCTATAATTGTTTACATCTATTGGGTCAGCACCTTTGTGTATTGGTGTAATCCTTACTAGCTTGAGTGTTGCTGGGAAAGTGTTGGTATCTAGTGATTTGTTGAAGAGTAAAGCATTGGTGGGTGAAAGGATTTGAGCCACTCATATATACAGTAGTGGTAGCACTTGGGTTATATTCCCTGATTTGTTTTTTAGAAAGTTAATAATCATGGTAACCTCAGTGGGCTCTGTTGGTGTAAGCTAGAGGGATGGTGGGAAGTTATGGCATTTTATTCAGCAGATCTTCAATCTTTGTCAGTATAGTTTATTAAATCCATTTCATGTAGTAACTGGGTTGATTGATACCATCCAAATTAGATCTTTGCAGTGACTCTCGAGTAATAGTGTCAAATAAATCTTTCTTTCTTTCAACACACTGGCTGTATCCCACCGAGGTGGGGTGGCCCAAAAGGAAAAACGGAAGTTTCTCCTTTTACATTTAGTAATATATACAGGAGAAGGGGTTACTAGCCCCTTGCTCCTGGCATTTTAGTCTCCTCTTACAACACGCATGGCTTATGGAGGAAGAATTATGTTCCACTTCCCCATGGAGGTAAGAGGAAATAAACAAGAACAAGAACTAATAAGAAAATAGAAGAAAACCCAGAGGGGTGTGTATATATATGCTTGTACATGTATGTGTAGTGTGACCTAAGTGTAAGTAGAAATAGCAAGACATACCTGAAACCTTGCATGTTTACAAGACACAAAAATGGACACCAGCAATCCTACCATCATGTAAAACAATTACAGGCTTTTGTTTTACACTCGCTTGGCAGGACGGTAGTACCTCCCTGGGTGGTTGCTGTCTACCAACCTACTACCTAGATTATTACTGTTATATTGTATTATTATTATTGGTATAATTATTATTATTATTCTTAGTACGTACATATTATTATTATTAATACGTACATATAATTATTATTATTATTATTATTATTATTATTATTATTATTATTATTATTATTATTATTATTAATAATAATTTAGGGAACTGGAGCACAGATCCAATTCCCTAGATCAAGAGCCCATCACTACATACATACTACTCCTAATAATAATTATTATAAAAATATTATTATTATTATTATTATTATTATTATTATTATTATTATTATTATTAACAGTAAGGAGAAACTTCAAAAAAGCTGCCAGTAGTTGGCACCACCATCAGCAAAGCACTAGTACACTTTTCACCTATCTAGACTTAAGTAGTCTATTAGTAGTATTAGGTTAAGTCTGCGGGAAATGCCTCAGCATGATAGTGGCTCTCTTTACTCTAATCATATTATATGCAAACACACACAGTAACTGTTGCAAAGAAATAAATATTTTATTTATTCATTTAAGGAACCTCCCTTGAGGGGGAAGTTAATATCCTGAAATTTCATTCATATCCAGAAGCAAAAAATCGACCGAACGACGATTCGTATCCTGAAAAATTCGCATGGTGAGGTGTTCATAAGCCGATGTTCCACTGTACCTCACGGCTTCTCATAGGCTTTGAAGAGCTGCCACCACCACTACTATTGCACTTTGGGGCCGTTATTAAGCAAAATTAAGGGTTATTTTGGGCCACGGTCAACCATGGATAATTGAAACCGTGGATACCAAATCCATGGATATGGGGGTTCTCCTGTACATTATAATGATTCAGTTTACTCATATACACCTATATTATATTTGATAGGTATTTAGTTACACGTATAATAGTGTATCAAGTGTATCCCTGAATCCCTTCATAAATGTTACTTTGCTCATGCTCCAACAGCATATCAGGTCATAAAAACCATTTGCCTCCACTTCCTCCTGAGCACACTAGATAAGAGAGAGTGGAGGAAAATGCTTTTATATGATGTGACATGCTGTTGGAGTGTGTGGAAGGTAACATTTATGAAGAGATTTGGGGAAATTGGTTAGCTGGACTTAAGTCCTGGAGGTAGGAAGTACAGTGCCTGCACTCTGAAGGAGGGGCGGAGATATGTTGTGGCTTTTGAACTGTAGTGTAGGCATGTCTTTGGCAAGACAGTGATGGAGTGAGTGATTATAAAAGTGTTTCTTCTTTTTCAGGTCACCCTGCATCCATGTGAAATGGCTGATTTGTTAAAAAAAAAGTCAAAGAATGAAGAAGTCCTCAGGTTGTTCTTCAACTCTATATATCCTTGGTTAGGCCTCCTGTAGACTATGCTGCTCAGTTCTGGTCACCGTATTACAGAATGGATATAAATGCTCTGGAAAACATACAGAGGAGTATGACAAAGATGATCCCTTGTATCAGAAATCTTTCCTATGAGGATAGACTGAGGGCCCTGAATCTGCACTCTCTTGAAAGGCATAGAATTAGGGGGGATATGATCGAGGTGTACAAATGGAAAACGGGAATAAATAAAGGGGATGTAAATAGAGTGCTGAAAATTTCCAGCCAAGATTGGAGTCGCAGCAATGGTTTAAGTTGGAAAAATTCAGATTCAGGGAGGATATAGGAAAGCACTGGTTTGGTAATAGAGTTGTGGATGAGTGCAACAAACTCCCGAGTACAGTTATTGAGGCTAAAATGTTGTGTAGTTTTAAAAATAGGTTAGATAAATACATGAGTAGGTGTGGGTGGGTGTGAGTTGGGCCTGACTAGCTTGTGCTGCTGGGTCTGGTGCTGTGCTCCATCCTTGAGTGGAGGTGACCAGACTGGGTTGGTCATTGGGCTAATCCGGGGAGGGGGGGTCATTGAGCTAATCCGGGGGGATGGGGACATGGACCTGCTCCGCATGGGTCAGTAGGCCTGTTGCAGTGTTCCTTCTTTCTTATGTTCTTATGAGGAGGCATGTTTATGAGAGTGAATAACAAAAAAAGGCACAATACCGTGACTGGAACAATACACAAATAATCCACACATAGAAGAGAGGAGCTTACGATGAAGTTTCAGTCCGACTTGGACCATTTACAAAGTCACACTAACGAGAAGTAGAGCAGGACGGGTATATATAGACAGGAAGAGGTAGTGGTGGTGGTAGTAGTAGTAGTAGTAGTGGTGGTAGTAATAGTGGTAGTAATAGTAGTAGTAGTAGTAGTAGTAGTAGCAGTGGTAGTGGTAGTAGTAGTAGTGGGGAATAAGGAGGACGAGCCAGTCAAATACAAAGAAAGGGAGCTAGGTGCCCACAGAGGGAGAGCAAGTACACAGAGGTGGGGAAGAAGGGTGAGTGATGAAATGAATAATGAAGGAACAGAAACACGAGACAGAAGAAAGACAACCCAGAGGAGAAAAAGGGAAAGAGGAAAGGGGAAGAGGGAGAAGAAGAAAAATGAGGAATCAGGTTAAGTCACGGGTGTTCTGAAGTTTGGAGCATTTTACAATGTAGTGGGAGAGGAAGGCATCTACAGAGACGAAGCCGGGACTAAGATTCATACAAGGAAAGTTGTGTATTAGAGAGGATTCAACTAGACGACGACTGTTAAAGTTGAAAGTAGGGGAGACAGTTTTAGCAGAAGACCAATCAATGGGATGGATGTGATCTCTGATGTGACAGAACAGAGCATTGTTAGTGTCGGCAAGCCTAACACTATTTTTGTGCTCCCTAAGTCTGTCAGAATGAGATCGACCAGTTTCTCCAAAATATTGAAGAGGACAGGAGGAGCAAGAAATAGAGTAGACACCAGGAACATCTGTAGAGGGAGGAGAGGTATGAACGAGATTAGTGCGAAGAGTGTTGGTCTGGCGGAAAGTAAGCTTGATGTCTAAGGGACGGAGAGAATTGTTGAGATTAGAAAGACCGGAAATGTAGGGAAGGCAGAGGACAGAAGAGTTCCTAGGAGTAGAGAGTTTGGGAGAGAAGAAATTACGTTTAGCCCTTGAGAGGCCAGAGTCTATGAAATGGGAAGGGTAGCCAAGACGGGAAAACGAATTATGAAGAGTGGAAATTTCTGCTGGAAGGAACTGAGGATCACGGATGTGGAGGGCACGGAGAAAGAGGGAAATAAGAACACTTTTCTTGACAGGGGACGCATGATAGGAAAAGTAGTGAATGTACATGCCACTGTGCATAGGTTTGCGGTAAACAGAAAAGGAAAAACCTGTATCTGAGTGGTGGACATGGACATCAAGAAAAGGAAGCAAGGAATTAGATTCCCATTCAGCTTTAAACTTAATGGAAGGGGCAAGATTATTAAGGGCTTCAAGAAAACGTTGGAAGAGACTGGAGTCATGAGGCCACAGGGCAAAGATGTCATCAACATAGCAGAGCCAGAGTGAAGGGCGCACATCGATGGTAGGAAGAAGAACAGTCTCGAAGTATTCCATGTAAAGATTAGCAAGGACAGGAGAGAGAGGAGAGCCCATAGCCACACCGAAGGTTTGAGAATAATATTTCCCTTGGAAGGAAAAGGAATTAGAGTCCACACAGAGGCGGATAAGATCAAGAAAGACATCAATAGGTATAGGGAGATGTAGAAACCCTTCATTGGCCTTCTCTCTAAGGAAACCAAGGGCATCATCAAGAGGGACATTGGTGAAGAGGGACTAAACGTCAAGACTGAGCATCTTACAGGTCGGGAGAGAGTGTACCCGTTCAATGAAGTCTTGAGAGTGATGGAGGTGGGCAGGAGAAAAAGTACCAAGAAAGGGAGTGAGGGTTTTGACCAACCTCTTCCCCTTTCCTCTTTCCCTTTTTCTCCTCTGGGTTGTCTTTCTTCTGTCTCATGTTTCTGTTCCTTCATTATTCATTTCATCACTTTCCCTTCTTCCCCACCTCTGTGTACTTGCTCTCCCTCTGTGGGCACCTAGCTCCCTTGCATTGCTCCCTTTTCTTTGTATTTGACTGGCTCGGCCTCCTAATTCCCCACACTGCTACCTCCCTCCTCTCCTCCTCCTCCTCCTCCTCCTCCTCTCTCGTCCTCCTCCTCCTCCTCCTCCTCCTCCTCCTCCTCCCTCCTCCTCCCTCCTCCTCCTCCTCCTCCTCCTCCTCCTCCTCCTCCTCCTCCTCCTCCTCCTCCTTCCTCCTCCTCCTCCCCTCCCTCCTCCTCTCCTCCTCCTCCTCCTCCTCCTCCTCCTCCTCCTCCTCCTCCTCCTCCTCCTCCCTCCTCCTCCTCCTCCTCCTCCTCCTCCTCCTCCTCCTCCTCCTCCTCCTCCTCCTCCTCCTCCTCCTCCTCCTCCTCCTCCTCCTCCTCCTCCTCCTCCTCCTCCTCCTCCTCCTCCTCCTCCTCCTCCTCCTCCTCCTCCTCCTCCTCCTCCTCCTCCCTCCTCCTCCTCCTCCTCCTCCTCCTCCTCCTCCTCCTCCTCCTCCTCCTCCTCCTCCCTCCTCCTCTCCTCCTCCTCCCTCTCCTCCTCCTCCTCCTCCTCCTCCTCCTCCTCCTCCTCCTCCTCCTCCTCTCCTCCTCCTCCTCCTCCTCCTCCTCCTCCTCCTCCTCCTCCTCCTCCTCCTCCTCCTCCCTCCTCCCTCTCTCCTCCTCCTCCTCCTCCTCCTCCCTCCTCCTCCTCCTCCTCCTCCTCCTCCTCCTCCTCCTCCTCCTCCTCCTCCTCCTCCTCCTCCTCATGCTACCACCTCTTCCTGCCTATATATATATATACCCGTCCTGCTCTATTGCTCATTATGTGACTTTGTAAATGGTCCAAGTCGGACCGAAACGTCGCCGTAAGCTCCTCTCTTCTATGTGCGGGTTATTTATGAGAGTGATTAAATGTGGAAGACATTCAAGGTATTGTTGTGTTACACTGAACAAGGTTACTTCCCAATACTCAGTGATTTATTTCCACATGATACAATGTACAGTGATTGATTACACCACTTGGTTGAGCATGCAGGAAACCCCTGGTGATGTTGAATGACTTGGTGATGTTGTATGGCCCTGGTGATGTATGGCCTTGGTGATGTATGGCCCTGGTGATGTACGGACTGGGTGATGTATGGCCCTGGTGATGTGCTCGCCTAATTGTGGTTGCAGGGGTCAAGACACAGCTCCTGGCACTGCCTCTTCACTGAACACTACTGGGTCCTCTCTCTTCCTGCTCCATAAGCTTTATCATACCTCGTCTTAAAGCTATGTATGGTTCCTGCCTCCACTACATCACTTGCTAGATTATTCCACTTCCTGACTACTCTGACTAAAAAAATACTTCTTAACATACCTGACTCATGTGAGTCTTCAACTTCCAAGTGTGACCCCCTTGTTTCTGTGTCCCCTCGATGGAATATCTTGTCTCTGTCTACTTTGTCTATTCCATGTAGTATTTTCTATGTCGTTATCATGTCTCCCCTAACCCTTCTCTCCTCCAGTGTCGTCATGCCGATTTCCCTTAACCTTTCTTTGTAGTACATTCCTCTTAGCTCTGAAACTAACCTTGTTGCAAACCTTTGCACTTTCTCTAATTTCTTGACATGCTTGACCCGGTGTGAGTTCCAAACTGGTGCTGCATACTCCAGTATGGGCCTGACGTACGTGGTGTACAGTGTCTTGAACGATTCCTTACTAAGGTATCGAAACACTATTCTCAGGTTTGCCAGGCGCCCATATGCTGCAGCAGTTATCTGGTTGTGTGCTTCTGGAGACTTGCTCGGTCTTATACTCACTCCAAGATCTTTTTCCTTAAGCTAGGTTTGCAGTCTTTGGCCACCTGGCCTATACTCTGTGGCTTTCTTTGCCCTTCCCTGATCTTCTTGACTTTGCATTTGGCACTGTTAAATTTGAAAAGCCAATTACTGGACCAGGTGCCCAGCCTGTCCAGGTCTCTTTGAAGTCCTGCCTTATCCTCATCTGATTTAATTCTCCTCATTAACTTCACATCATCTGTGAACAGTATAGCCCTGGTGATGTTGTATGGCCCTGGTGATGATGTATGGCCCTGGTGATGATGTATGGCCCTGGTGATGTATTACTTCACCTCTTAAATATAACAATATCATGATAATGACAATATAGGTTGAGAATCCCTTTTTCAAAATGCTTTTGGCTAAAAGTGTCTTTGATTTTGAAATGTTTTGGATTTTGTAATATAATGAGACAACTTGGGGATGGGACACAAGTTTAAAGATGAAATCCGTTTATACTTACTTTATTTACAGGATATTACTAAATGTAAAAAAGAAAAACTTTCGTTTTTCATTTTAGGTCACCCGGCCTTGATGGGAGATGGCAGGTGACAGTGACACGATGGGAGATGGCAGGTGACAGTGCCATGATGGGAGATGGCAGGTGACAGTGCCATGACGGGAGATGGCAGGTGACAGTGCCATGACGGAGATGGCAGGTGACAGTGCCATGCTGGGAGATGGCAGGTGCCCATGCCACGATGGGAGATTGCAGGTGTGGTAACAAAAAAATGCAGATTTTACACGTATCCTGAAAGTAGTTTTATAATACACTTGTGATAAAAACAGCACAGCATCATCGGCACAATACCTACATCATTTGGTAATAAAGAACAGGAAGCTTTGAATATCAACCTACAATGTTATATGTTGATTAACAGACTTGCATACACTGTTATCACTGTTACTCCAAGCAGCATTTACTGGCCTTTTTGACTTTTGCAACACTGTCTTTACAAGACAGAAGAGAAAATAAGCACGAATCACAAGGTAATCAGTGATGACTATAACAAACTGGCACAAAGAGGGCATCAGAGGGTGACCCAGGGTATGCAAGGTCACAGTTGCAAGTGTCTGGGTACATAGTGACCTTCACAGTGCCTGGGAACCTCCCCACAGCCCACTTGAATTTTCCTTTTGTGGGGTCACGAAAAAAGTTTGATATAGCTATTTGAATTTTGGATAAGGGATACTCAGCCTGTAATAATAAATTATATAATAATAATACTTGTATTATATATAATATTTTATCAGTAGTATACAGCAGTATCATATAGCTTAAATATAATCATAATGAAAGTGTTTTGACAAGTGATAAATATTGTAGAATAGTCCTCCTCCATCATGTGTACAGTGCTGTAGAATAGTCTTCCTCCATGTGTACAATGATGCAGAATAGTCCTCCTCCTTCATGTGCACAATGCTATAGAATAGTCTTCCTCCTTCATGTGCACAATGCTGTAGAATAGTCTTCCTCCTCTGTCCATGTGCCATTTATGTATGATTAGAATAGTCCTCCTCCATGTGCACAATGATGCAGAATAGTCTTCCTTCATGTGCACAATGATGCAGAATAGTCCTCCTCCTTCATGTGCACAGTGCTATAGAATAGTCTTCCTCTTTCATGTGCACAATGCTATAGAATAGTCCTCCTCCTTCATGTGCACATTGTAGAATAGTCCTCTTTCATGTGCACAATGCTGTAGAACAGTCCTCTTTCATGTGCACAATGCTGTATAGTCCTTCATGTGCACACTGCTGTAGAACAGTCCTCCTCCATGTGCACACTGCTGTAGAACAGTCCTCCTTCATGTACACACTGCTGCAGAACACTACTCCTTCATGTGCACACTGCTGCAGAACACTCCTTCTTCATGTGCACACTGCTGTAGAACAGTCCTCCATGTGCACATGCTGTAGAATAGTCCTTCATGTGCACAATGCTGTAGAATAGTCCTCCTTCATGTGCACAGTGCTGTAGAATAGTCCTCCATGTGCACATACTGTAGAATAGTCCACCTTCATGTGCACAATGCTGTAGAACACTCCTCTTTCATGTGCACAGTGCTGTAGAACAGTCCTCCTCCTCTTTCATGTTCACAATCTTTCACTCTTAACAAGCTTTTTCCGTGCATGACTAAAAAAAAAATTCCCTTGAAGAAAAACATAACCCCAGTGAAGATTTGTGCTACAATGTTTTGGTGGTGCAAATATCCACACCCCTCTGAAGGAGGGAAGTGTAGTGTAGGCACACCTCTGAAGGAGGGATGTGTAGTGTAGGCACACCTCTGAAGGAGAAAAGTGTAGTGTAGGCACACCTCTGAAGGAGAAAAGTGTAGTGTAGGCACACCTCTGAAGGAGGGAAGTGTAGTGTAGGCACACCTCTGAAGGAGGGAAGTATAGTGTAGTGTAGGCACACTTCTGAAGGAGGGAAGTGTAGTTAGGCACACCTCTGTAGGAAGTGTAGTGTAGGCACACCTCTGAAGGAGGGAAGTGTAGTGTAGGCACACCTCTGAAGGAGGGAAGTGTAGTGTAGGCACACCTCTGAAGGAGGGAAGTGTAGTGTAGTGTAGGCACACCTCTGAAGGAGGGAAGTGTGGTGTAGGCACACCTCTGAAGGAGGGAAGTGTAGTTAGGCACCCCTCTGAAGGAGGGAAGTGTACTGTAGGCACACCTCTGTAGGAAGTGTAGTGTAGGCACACCTCTGAAGGAGGGAAGTGTAGTGTAGTCACACCTCTGAAGGAGGGAAGTGTAGTGTAGGCACATCTCTGGGGGAGGGAAGTGTAGTGTAGGCACATCTCTGAGGGTGGGAAGTGAGTGTAGGCACCCCTCTGAAGGACGGAAGCATAGTGTAGGCACACCTCTGGCAAGATGAAGTGAGTGATGGTGAAAGTATTTCTTCTTTTTTGGGCCACCTGCCTCAGTGGGAGACTGACGGTTTGTTGAAAAAAAAAAAGTAATAACTTCAATCCAGTTTTGCCATTTTGCTGGGTGTTGTTGACAAAGATAGGCCTATTGTTATGGGTATGTCCATTCTCGACATATTTTATACTAGGATATTTGCTTTATCTAGGTAGTAGGTTGGTAGACAGCAACCGCCCAGGGAGGTACTACCATCCTGCCAAGTGAGTGTAAAACGAAAACCTGTAATTGTTTTACATGATGGTAGGATTGCTGGTGTCCATTTTTCTGTCTCATAAACATGCAAGGTTTCAGGTACATCTTGCTACTTCTACTTACACTTAGGTCACACTACACATACATGTACAAGCATATATATACACACACCCCTCTGGGTTTTCTTCTATTTTCTTACTAGTTCTTGTTTATTTCCTCTTACCTCCATGGGGAAGTGGAACAGAATTCTTCCTCTGTAAGCCGTATGTGTTGTAAGAGGCGACTAAAATGCCGGGAGCAAGGGGCTTGTAACCCCTTCTCCTGTATATATTACTAAATGTAAAAGGAGAAACTTTCGTTTTTCCTTTTGGGCCACCCGGTCACAGACCGGGCCGCGGGGGCGTTGACTCCCGGAACTCTCTCCAGGTAAACTCCAGGTAAACCCCGCCTCGGTGGGACATGGCCGGTGTGTTGAAAGAAAGAAGAAAGATTTGCTCTATATTTTATTAAATGTATATTAGTAATATTGTATTATATTATGTTTTGTTAGGCTTTAATAAGTGTTATTTTCATGTAGTAGGGAAACCACTAGTTACAGTGCCGGTTACTAGTTCAGGTACTGGCCTGTCTCCCTAAGTCACGTGATCCAACCTGATGTCAGCTTACCGCTCACTGGTACAATCAGTGGGTTCACAGCGCTCACTCTGAGTGGCTTCACACACACACTGAGCAGATTCAGGTGCTCAGCCATTTATACATTTCCCCACTCTAGAATATCACTTAGTCCCAGACAAAGTGTACTTTTATGTATAACACTGCAAGAGAGAGAGAACTTTGTATCATATACAAAGTTTTATATGAATTCTTTTGTAATAAAGATCAGATCTTATTTAACTGGATCAGTCTCCTAATGGTAATCTCCATATTAAAATGACATTTGTCTAAGGACAGCTAGACCAGAGCCTGATTCGACATCTTGTTACAGAAAGGGGCCAAAACAGGCCTATAGACATGGCCCTTGACGTAACAAAAGGGATGCCTGTCCGGGAGGCCTTTTGATCCAAGGTGTTGGTGACAATGGCCATTTCGACCGACTATGTCTACTCGAACACCCGTAGTAGTTTCCTCTCTTGTGGACTAAACATATATTTTTATAATGTCAAGACCTTCGGAGGCACAAGTATACTTTCCTGCTGAAGCTCTAAAGCATCAGATAAGGGAGCTAAGGTCCCAACGTAATATTTGACTTTCCATATAGAGAAATTTCTAGAGCAGGAAGTTGGTAACTTGAGTGTTAATATTGGCTCCCAGCAGTGATGGCTACTGATGTTTGGCTCTTACCACTCACCCAGAAGACAAACTACTACTGGGTATAAGGAACTGTCTCTTCCCCATTGCTATGGTACTGGCTACACCATTACTGAGTCGAGTGAAAGGATTGATTTTCGCAGATTCTTGGTGTCCCCCTATACGTTTGGAGCTATGAAGATTGGCTTTCTCTCTCTCTCTCTCTCTGTGGTTGGAGATACCACGGGCATCCACACAACAGGAACTAGCAGGGTTGTTGCTGCTGTTTGCGCCTCTAGTAAGGCCAAGAATTTCGGTCATTTTCGGTGAGTCGCTGCTGTCCTGGGATGAAGCATATCGTCGTAGTTGGTATATTGAAAGGATACAAGTAAGTGATGACATTTAGGAACAGAACCTACTCTTGTTCCTTGATGTTCGCTGCAGGTTAATGTGGACTTCATTAATCTGTTCTGCAGCCTTGTTGGCACTGCTGGTTCAGCTACTGCTCTAGCTGATACTGCTGGTGCCTCTGTGTGCAATTTCTGTATACAGAAATCATTTTAGTGCTACTGGTCTCATTGTCGACTTGCAGAAGTGGAGGCTAAGATGAGAAATAAGACTTGTATTTGTTCAAGCTTTTATGGAAACAAAAAGTGTGGCGTGAGATTATCACCACTGGTCCTCCGGAATGAGTGTTCAGTGGAGATGAGAAAAAAAACTGTAAGGGATACTCTTGGAGAACAGTCACGGGTGACACACTACAGTCACGAATAACACTAAAACCTTGGGTGGCTCTGCACTCATGGATGAGATGTTAGTCACTGCTGACGCCCTCAGTCACAGGTGATGCGAGAGAGAATTCTTCAAAGAATGCCTATAGGAGTAATAAAGGAGTGGTCAAATTACTGTCACTTGAGACAGTAACAGCGCTCTTGGCAGGATATTTACGATGGGGAAGTCATTGTCTGCGTCGGACTTATTAGAGGTACTCATGGCAAGAGACATTTGCTTTCCCATATTGTTTTCCTCATGTGTGAGCCAGCGATTGTCTTCCTGTCTGTTACTGTCGGAGTCGTTGCTCCAGCAACTTGTGATGTGGCACAGCTACGAGGAGACATAGAGGAACCTGCATATGCCTTCTGATGTACTAACCTCTGTATCATGAGTTAGTTCCTGAGTAGGAGTTAGCATACTCTCCTGACACACTAACCTCTGTATAACAAGTTAGTCCCTGAGCAGGAGTTAGCATATTCTCCTGACACACTAGCCTCTGTATCAGGAGTTAGTCCCTGAGCAGGAGTCTGCATACACTTCCCACATCACTAAACTGACCCTCTCCGATGATTTCTCCGATGTACACTGTAGCGCTTCCGCTCGTTATCTTTGGTCTCCAGAGTAAGGAAGTTGCCATCTTCATTGACAATAAGAACATAAGAAAGAAGGAACACTGCAACAGGCCTACTGAACCATGTGGAGCAGGTCCATGTCCCCCCCCCCCCCAAGGATTAGACCAATGACCCCCCCCTCCCCAGGATTAGCCCAATGATCCATCCAGTCTGATTATCTCCACTCAAGGATGGAGCACTGCACCAGACCCAGCAGCACAAGCTAGTCAGGTCCAACTCACACCCACCCGCACCCACTCATGTATTTATCTAACCTATTTTTAAAAGTACACAACGTTTTAGCCTGAATAACTGTACTCGGGAGTTTGTTCCACTCATCCACAACTCTATTACCAAACCAGTGCTTTCCTATATCCTTTCTGAATCTGAATTTTTCCAACTTGAAACCATTGCTGCGAGTCCTGTCTTGCCTGGAAATTTTCAGCACGCTATTTACATCCCCTTTATTTATTCCTGTTTTCCATTTATTCACCTCAATCATATCCCCCCTAATTCTACGCCTTTCGAGAGAGTGCAGATTCAGGGCCCTCAGTCTATCCTCATAGGGAAGATTTCTGATACATGGGATCATCTTTGTCATCCTCCTCTGTACGTTTTCCAGAGCATTTATATCCATTCTGTAATACGGTGACCAGAACTGAGCAGCATAATCTAAATGAGGACTAACCAAAGATATATAGAGTTGAAGAACAACCTGAGGACTTCTATTATTTATACTTCTAGATATGAAGACAAGAATTCTGTTAGCTTTATTGCGAACACTAACGCACTGTTGTCTTGGTTTTAGATTACTGCTAACCAGAACTCCTAAAGCCTTTTTGCAATCAGTAGTATTAAGATCTACATTATTTAGTTTATATGTGGCATGGTTATTTAACTGTCCAACATTTAGAACTTTGCATTTGTCAATATTAAACTGCATCTGCCACTTCTCCGACCATTGCATCAGTCTATTCAAATTATCCTGGAGTGCTCTACATATTCTTCAGATGTGCCACCGCTTGTCTTGACATCTCTTCCAGTCTTGGAGCTGTGTCGAGAGTTCCTGCTGCCGGACCCACGCGCCTTAGTGTTCCAGATGGAAGTGCGACTGCTTTATTGACCAGGCAACATATGTCTATGAGGTTGGTAAGAGACTCACCAATTGGTGACTCTGAGACAGACGACGCTCAGGGCTTCTGCTGTTCCCGCTACACTGAGCTGGTATCTACATTGTGGTAGATAGCACAAATGTTTAATTCAACTTAGTATGAATATTTTTACCATTTAAAGTATATCATGCTTTAAGCTGCTTCTTTTATGCAGTCTTTATTTTGTTTAATTCTGGTAGTTAATTGACAAGGTCGTATTTGTCTAATACGGTTTAATGAGTGCTGAACTTACTCCATATTTGTGATGAAAAGATGGAGATGTTTTGACGGCTGAAGAGCTGTACTGTTAGTACAAAATAAATTTTGTACTAAAAATATTTCTTTAAAGAACTACTGTATTTAAAAATGAGATTTAAATAATCTAAAAAGTGAAAATGAAAAGTTATTTATAAAATTAATTTTTCATGTGACTTAGATTTGTCCTATTCTAAATGTTACGGATACTTAGGTAATTACCTATACATTGTCATGAAAGTGCATTGAGTAACCAGTACGGCTTTGCTACTGCCACCTCATACACTCTGGTGTAGGGAAACTAATGTTAAATCTTTTACTTACACTGCATATGTATTTAAAGTTGTCCACAAGTATGTAGGTTTCTGAAGGCATATTCATGTTACGAAAGATGAGTGTCTATGTTTCAGTTTTGACAATGTTTTACTCTGAGGAATAGAATAGCAATTAGTAATCTAATTTTCTATTTTCTTTTTTTTTGTTCATTTGCCGCAGTGAGTACACTGCTAAAAACTTAAGTTTTTTAAAGGTATTATACTTCATTAGCTAGGAATTTTTATTGACCTAAGAAAAGCTTTTGACACAGTAGACCACGGCATCCTACTCCACAAACTTGACCATTATGGTATAAGAGGCCATGCGCTTGAATATTTCAAATCCAGTATGTCACCATTAATGACACGGCATCATCAACACGGCCACTTGATACTGGAGTTCCGCAGGAAAGTGTCCTTGGACCCCTGCTCTTCCTCATTTACATCAATGATCTTCCAAACGTATCCCAACACCTGAAACCCATTCTCTTTGCTGACGACATGACTAATGTCATCTCTCACCCTAATCTTGCCACCCTCAACACTATTGTTAATGAGGAGCTGCTCAAAATATCAACTTGGATGACAGCCAATAAACTTACACTTAACACTGACAAAACCTACTATATTATGTTTGGTAGCAGAGCAGGTGCTGCACAACTTAACATTAAGATCGACAGGACTCTAATTGCCAGACATAATGAGGGCAAATTCCTAGGCCTATACCTCGACAATAACCTGAATTTCAGCACCCATATCCAACACATATGAAAAAAAGTATCAAAAACAGTTGGGATCCTCTCCAAGATACGATACTACGTGCCACAAAATGCCCTTCTCACACTGTACCATTCACTCATTTATCCATACCTCACCTATGCTATTTGTGCTTGGGGATCAACTGCAGCAATACACCTAAAGCCAATAATAACTCAACAAAAAGCTGCAATAAGAATAATCACTAAATCCCATCCCTGGCAAACCCCCCCCCATCACCACTCTTCATAGATCTAAACTTACTCCCTATTCAGAACATCCACACTTACTACTGTGCAGTCTGCATATACAGGACCTTAAATTCCAATATTAACCTTGACCTCAAATGCTTTCTTGATAGTTGTGACAGGACTCACAGGCATAACACCAGACACAAACATCTCTACGACATTCCCCGTGTCCGACTAAACCTTTACAAAAATTCAATGTATGTCAAAGGCCCTAAAATCTGGAACACACTACCTGAAAACTCTAGAACTGCAGACACATTCATCACCTTCAAAACTACTGTTAGAAAACATCTTATCTCCCTGATACACCCCATCAACTAACTACATAAAAACCACCTGGTGGTCCACACTTACACTCACTCACTCACCCATTTGACTATAAGCACAGAAATACATATCCTAATCTTAAAATAATGATTCCTAACTAGTCATAAGTTTGCCTGTGATACTCCAATATAGAAACTATGTATTGTGCCAAAACAAGGGCATTCACATTGCTAAACTCACAAACTAGTATTTGTCACTTAGTATTTAGTCTCTTAGTATTTAGTCAACTTACTCCACAATTTGTTATAATTTAGGGTTAAGAATTAATCTAAGTTTGCCCGAAATGCCTAGCCATGCTAGGTGTTCTAGTGGCCCCCTCTGTAATTAGTATTTTACTACATGTAAACCACACAATAACCAAAATCTGTAAACCCCGCATTGTAATCCTTATAGAGAATAAACTTTGATTTGATTTGATAAAGATTTTCTGCCTAACTGAAGTACCATATTTTAATTTGACATTCAAAATTAGAGATTGTTTTATGTAAAGATTATTTAAGATTTATTTAAAAATTTTATACGTATTTAATAGCCAATTTATTCGTCTCTATTTTGCTCATGTTTAATAACTTTATGTGTATCAACAGTAGTGTTGTTGTGTATTGGTAAATCAAGGAGATAGTTAGAGCTGAGTGTAAGGTGTTATACAGATGTTATGAGTGGCACGGTACACAGCCTGGACGCCAGCTCTCTCACACACCATGTCCCTCAAGCTATCCAAAATGCAGTTGTCATGACAGAGGTCCTTACTGCAATGTATTCCACTACCACTGTTGGAGCAGAATATCATTTCCTTCAATCACTCAAGACTGTGATGAAATGCAGTACCATCCACTACTGTGAAGCTCTATGAAGTCATGATCGTCTACATGTTGCTGTCTCTTCATGTATGCAGATACGCTGATGTGCAGCCAAGTATATGAAGTATATGTTAGTGACACACTGAAATTCAGAGCAGCATGGCTCATGAGTGACTTACCTTTTTGTGAAATATTTTTTGGTTTGAAAAGTAGAAACCTTATTACTTTTCCTGGTGTGACTTGCTGTCGTGAGGGGGGTGTTACAGGTATGTCCATACCCGACATATTTTATACTAGGATATTTCCTCTATATTTTATTAAATGTATATTAATAATATTGTATTATATTATGTTTTGTTAGGCTTTAATATTAAGTGTTATTTTCATGTAGTGGGGAAACCACTAGTTACAGTGCCAATTACTAGTTCAGGTACTGGCCCGTCTCCCTAAGTCACGTGATCCAACCTGATGTCAGCTTACTGCTCACTGGTACAGTCAGTAGGTTCACAGCACTCACTCTGGCTTCACACACACTCTGAGCAGATTCAGGTGCTCAGCCATTAATACATTTCCCCACTCTAGAATATTTCTTAGTCCCAGACAAAGCGTACTTTTATGTATAACACTGCAAGAGAGAGAGAACTTTGTATCATATACAAAGCTTTATATGAATTTTTTTGTAATAAAGATCACATTTTATTTAGTTGGATCAGTCTCCTAATGGTAATCTCCATATTAAAATGACATTTGTCAAAGGACAACTAGACCAGAGCCTGATTCAACATCTTGTTACAGAAAGGGGCCAAAACAGGCCTATAGTCATGGCCCTTGATGTAACACTATACAATTATAAAATGATACAGTAATTGAATGTTGTTTAAAATATCTTTTTGAAAATATCAACACTCGATAAAGAAATAAAATTAAAGGGAATGGATAAGTTTAAAACAAAGGCTGATATATGTGAAGGCTGTTTAGTTTGTTATTGGGTTATATTACCCAAAAAGTATTTATGTAACTAAGTAGCAGTTAGATAAATTATTTGAAGTCCCTAATTATATTAAACTGCTGGGGGGCACAAATGCCTTAATTCTGTCATGAGAATTGATCACTTATGTAGATAGGCCAGATGGGTCAACCCCTGTATTTCAGTATAATTAGCTTCTATTGTAAAACACATACAGTTAAAATAAGTAGATTATAAAGTCAGTATTATGAAAGTAAAATAAGGTATAGTAATGGGAAAAACAATGGTAGTAGCTAAGGAACTGTGCATGGTGATGGTTTGTTATGAGTATACAGGTCAGCCATCACTAATCCAGCATCACTGGGATCTTTGTGTGCCAGATTGGTGAGTTTCCCGGATTACAGAGTGGCTAGGTTAGAATACACTTAATGAACCTATCAATAGAGAGAGACTTTCTGCTACATTTTTCTCATTTTCATCACTGCTTTCTCTTCCATTGGTTTGCTGCTGTGGATTTACAACCATCTGCACAATTTATGAGTCAGTATAATGATGAAACTTCAGTCAGTGTGATGATTGGACTCGGTATAATGATGAAATTTGAAATTATGGTAGCTGAAATTAGTACCGGATTACTGATGGAACCGGATAACTGATTGCTGGATTAGTGATGGCAGACCTGTGCTACTATATAGAAAGCCACTTGTTATGCAGAGCATTTCGGGCAAATTAGGTCAGTTTTGTCCCAGGATGCGACCCACACCAGTCAACTAACACCCAGGTACCCATTTTATACTGATGGGTGAACAAGGACAGCAGGTGTCTTATGGAAACACATCCTAATGCTTTCCATCCGTACCTTAGATTCAAACTCTGGACCTCAGTGTGTGAGCTGAGTGCGCTAGCAATTGAGCTACGGGACACTTAGAGTACTTAACCCCTATGGTTGTTCGATTTTCCTTTCCCACTATGTCGTTTGCCTTTATCTGCCAAGTTGAGTATAAAGTATCAACTTCATGCAAAGGCACATGACTATATTTTACGAAGTGTAAGGCAAAAATTTGTGTTATGTGATGAACCCAATTAAGAAATTACAGTTTTCATGAGTAGTTGTGTGTTAGTCTCACCCTCCCGAGACAGGAAGAGGTAATGCTTTCATTGTTTTAACTTTCCTTTACCCATCCTCCATCAGAGTGTCGAAGGGCTTTGAGCCAAGTAGTGTGCTATATTTTAAGTTACATAAGTTTAGTGGTGGACCTGTCTCATTTGATGGACTGCCAGTAAGGAAACTCATCTGTCAGGGCCCTTGGTAGTTTCTTCATACTTTGTTGCTTTTGTGCTTCGTGATGATGGTAGGTGACTTATCTAAGTGGTAGGAATTATATTTTTATATTGTAGCAAATTGGGTGCATCAGCAGTGATGTTGGTACCCTACTGTATGTTAGTTATGTAGTGGGAAGAAAAGTAGCCATGTTTTCCTGTCATATTCCATCATATGGAAAGGGTTTCATACACAAGGTAATAAAATAGGTCAGCCTCAGGTGGGTGACTTCATAAGACGATATTGTTAAACAATACACTCGTGGTTCACTAGCAGTGGCAATTTTAAACCTGAAATGCTCTGCATACTAAGGGGCTTTCTGCATTCACACCTTAATGTCGCCCATCTCTGTACAAACATTGTACCATGCTGAAATGAATCTGAATCTGAATTAGCATGTCTCAAGATTTTTTGAGGTGGGAAGGGAGAATGATTTTTTTTTCTAATGTCAAAATTGATTTCTGTAGGACTGTGAATTGACAGCTGTCCTGATGTCTTCTGCTGCTCCCACCATTTGCTTACCTGTGTTGGCTGTCACACCTTATGAAGAATATTGCACCTACTTATGGCAGTAGTACTAAATATGGAGGTTACCTGCAGAACCACAGTAAATGAGAAAAGGTATGTTTTTTTTTTTTTTTTTTTTTTTTGTAATTTGCCATATTGTCATTATGTGAATGTCTTTTGTGTAATCAGCATGAGATGGTGATGCTTCCTGGGGAAGGCAGCACTGATGGTGGTTTAGGATATTACCAGTAAACTCGCACTTAACATTGACAAGACGTTTTTACATGATGTTTGGGACCGGAGCTACAAATGTCCAACTAAGTGTTATGCTTAACAGTTCTCTTATGACTAAACAAAACGAAGGAAAATTCCTAGGTCGGTTCTTAGACAGCAACTTGAAATTCAACACTCGCATTTAACACGTATCCAAAAGTGTATGCAAATCAGTTGGCATCCTCTCCAAGATTCATTACTATGTACCTCCAACAGCAGTACTTACATTGTACTGCTTTAATATATTCCTACCTCACCTATGTTATTTGAGCCTAGGGAACCACTACAGCAAGTCATCTTAAACCAATAATAACTACAAAAAGCAGCTGTATGAATGATTACTCAGTCTACTGCCAGACAAAACACTCCCCCACTCTTCAAAGACCTAAACCTACTTTTTTTTTTTTTCAACATGCTGGCTGTCTCCCACCGAGGCAGGATGACCCAAAAAAGAAAGAAGACAATTCAGGTGTAACTCCAAACAGCAGAGATCCCAAAACCCTCCTTTAAAGTGCAGGCATTGTACTTCCCACCTGCAGGACTCAAGTCAGGCTAACTGATTTCCCTGAATCCCTTCACAAAATATTACTCTACTCACACTCCAACAGCTTTTCAAGTCCCTAAAAACCATAGGTAGTAGGTTGGTAGACAGCAACCACCCAGGGGAGTACTACCGTCCTGCCAGATGACTGTGAAGCGGAAACCTGTAACTGTTTTGCATGATGGTAGGATTGCTGGTCTCTTTTTCTGTCTCATAAACACGCCAGATAGCAGGGATATCTTGCTACTCCTACTTACACTTAGATCACACTTCACAGACATGCACATGCATATATATATACATACATACATCTAGGTTTTTCTCCTTTTTCTAAATAGCTCTTGTTCTTCTTTATTTCTTCTATTGTCCATGGGGAAGTGGGAAAGAATCTTTCCTCCGTAAGCCATGCGTGTCGCGTGTCGTATGAGGCGACTAAAATGCCGGGAGCAATGGGCTAGTAACCCCTTCTCCTGTAGACATTTACTAAAAAAGAGAAGAAGAAAAACTTTATAAAACTGGGATGCTTGAATGTGCGTGTATGTAGTGCGGATGACAAGAAACAAATGATTGCTGATGTTATGAATGAAAAGAAGTTGGATGTCCTGGCCCTAAGCGAAACAAAGCTGAAGGGGGTAGGGATATTTCGTGGGGGGAATAAATGGATTAAATCTGAGTATCTGAGAGAGTTAGAGCAAAGGAAGGGGTAGCAGTAAATGTTGAAAGATCAGTTATGGAAGGAGAAAAGAGAATATGAATGTGTAAATTCAAGAATTATGTGGATTAAAGTAAAGGTTGGATGCGAAAAAATGGTCATAATAAGCGTGTATGCACCTGGAGAAGAGAGGAATGTAGAGGAGAGAGAGAGATTTTGGGAGATGTTAAGTGAATGTATAGGAGCCTTTGAACCAAGTGAGAGTAATTGTGGTAGGGGACCTGAATGCTAAAGTAGGAGAAACTTTTAGAGAGGGTGTAGTAGGTAAGTTTGGGGTGCCAGGTGTAAATGATAATGGGAGCCCTTGATTGAACTTTGTATAGAAAGGGGTTTAGTTATAGGTAATACATATTTTAAGAAAAGAGGATAAATAAGTATACAAGATATGATGTAGGGCAAAATGACATTTTGTTGGATTATGTATTGGTAGATAAAAGACTGTTGAGTAGACTTCAGGATGTACATGTTTATAGAGGGGCCACAGATATATTAGATCACTTTTTAGTTGTAGCTACACTGAGAGTAAAAGGTAGATGGGATACAAGGAGAATAGAAGCATTAGGGAAGAGAGAGGTAAGATATAAACAGCTATTGGAGGATAGATGGGCTAATGAGAGCATAGGCAATGGGGGGTCGAAGAGGTATGGGGTAGGTTTAAAAATGTAGTGTTGGAGTGTTCAGCAGAAGTTTGTGGTTACAGGAAGGTGGGTGCGGGAGGGAAAGAGGAGCGATTGGTGAATGATGCTGTAAAGCGAGTAGTAAGGGAGAAAAAGTTAGCATATGAGAAAGTTTTTACAAAGTAGAAGTGATGCAAGGAGGGAAGAGTATATGGAGAAAAAGAGAGAAGTTAAGAGAGTGGTGAAGCAATGTAAAAGAGAGCAAATGAGAGAGTGGGTGAGATGTTATCAACAAATTTTGTTGAAAATAAGAAAAAGTTTTGGAGTGAGATTAACAAGTTAAGAAAGCCTAGAGAACAAATGGATTTGTCAGTTAAAAATAGGAGAGGAGAGTTATTAAATGAGAGTTAGAGGTATTGGGAAGATGGAAGGAATATTTTGAGGAATTGTTAAATGTTGATGAAGATAGGGAAGCTGTGATTTCGTGTATAGGCAAGGAGGATAACATCTTGTAGGAGTGAGGAAGAGCCAGTTTGTGAGTGTGGGGGAAGTTCGTGAGGCAGTAGTAAAATGAAAGGGGGTAAGGCAGCCGGGATTGATGGGATAAAGATAGAAATGTTAAAAGCAGGTGGGATATAGTTTTGGAGTGGTTGGTGCAATTATTTAATAAATGATATGGAAGAGGGTAAGGTACCTAGGGATTGTGGAGAGAGCATGCATAGTTTCCTTTGTATAAAGGCAAAGGGGATAAAAGTAGAGTGCAAAATTATAGGGGGATAAGTCTGTTTGAGTGTACCAGGTAAAGTGTATGGTAGAGTTATAATTGAAAGAATTAAGAGTAAGACTGAGAATAGTAGCAGATGAACAAGGAGGCTTTAGGAAAGGTAGTGGGTGTGTGGGACCAGGTGTTGTACAGTGAAACATATAAGTGAATCAGAAATTTAGATAAGCTAAAGAGGTCCTTTGAGGCATTATGGAATTGAAAAGCGTATGACAGGGTGGATATGGGGGCAATGTGGCAGATGTTGCAAGAGAATGGGTGTAGGAGGAAGGTTTACTGAAAGCAGTGAAGAGTTTTTATTTATTAAACGAGGATAGTGAGGCTCAAGTTAGAGTAAGTAGGATAAGAGGGAAATTTTTTTCCCAGTAAAAGTAGGCCATAGACAATATGTGTGAAGTCACCGTGGTTGGTTTAATTATATTTATAGATGGGGTTGTACGATAAGTAAATGCGAGGGTCTGGCAAAGGCGTGGAGTTTAAAAGATAAAGAATCACACACAAAAGTGGGAGTTGTCACAGCTGCTACTTTGCTGATGACACTGTGCCTAGGAGATTCTGAAGAGAAGTTGCAGAGATTGGTGATGAAATTTGGTAGGGTGTGCAAAAGAAGTAAATTAAAAGGTGAATACAGGAAAGAGTAAGGTTATGAGGATAACAAAAAGATTAGGTGAAGGAAAGATTGAAAATCAGATTGGATGGAGAGAGTATGGAGGAGGTGGACGAATTCAGATTTGGGAGTGGACGTGTCAGCGGAAGGGGTCTATGAATGATTGAGGTGAATCAAATAATAGATGAGGGAAAAAGAGTGAGTGGTGCACTTAGGATTCTGTGAGACAAAGAACTTTGTCCCATGGAGGCAAAAGAGGGAATGTATGAGAGTAATGATTATATACCACGCACTTATTATGGGGTGTGAAGCGTGGGTGATGAATGTTGCAGCGAGTAGAAGGCTGGAGGCAGTGGAGATGTCTGTCTAGGGCAAAGTGTGTGTGAATATAATGCAGAGAATTCGTAGTATTGGGAATTTAGGAGGAGGGGCGGGATTACCAAAACGTTGTCCAGAGGGCTGAGGAAGGGTTTGTTGAGGTGGTTCTTACATGTAGAGAGAAGGAGCGAAACCAGCAATGACTTCAAGATGTATCATTCTGTAAGTGGAAGGAAGGAGCGGGGTAGGGTCGCAAGGAAGGGTTGGAGGAGGAGGTGGTAAAGGAGGTTTTTGTGTGCGGGGCTTGGACATCCATCAGGCAATGCTTGAGCCGCGTTGTGATAGTGAGTTAAGGAGACCAAATGGTTTTTAATACTTGACGGGCTGTTGAGTGTGAGCAAAGTAACATTTATGAAGGGATTCAGGGAAACCGGCAGGCCGGACTTGAGTCCCTGGAGATTGGAAGTACAGTGCCCTGCACTCTGAAGGCGGGGTGTTAATGATGCAGTTTAAAAAAAACTGTAGTGTAAAAGGGCACCCTTCTGGCAATACATTGATGGAGTGAATGATGGTGAAAGTTATTCTTTTTTCGGCCACCCTGCCTTGGTGGGAATCGGCCAGTGTGATAATAAAAAATAAAAAGAATACAGCCTCTCCTCACTTAGCGATGTATTTGTTTACCGACAACTCAGACTTATGACAGGCTCTCTGTCCAGTATGCCTCCTATATTCAGTTTATTACAATACAGTGTACCCCGCGTTCCGCTAAGACATTGGAATCCGATAAATCCTTTATCCCCGAAGCATATATCGCAAAAAATTTGCCTCGGTTCCATTAACAAAACCCGGTATGCGATACGATTCGTACGAGATGTGTCCAGTGTTTACAAGCCAGCCAGTGTGCGCACATCTAAGGATACTTTCGGTACATTCCTATTTATACCATAGTATCACGATTTTGGTGCTTTTATCTGCAAAATATGCACCATGGGCCCCAAGAAAGCTTCAAGTGCAACCCATCGAGACCAATGGTGCAATGGACTATTTGAAATTAAGGAAATTTTTGCAAAGTGGCTTGAAGTGGCAACCTTTTGAGAAAATCACCTGACCACAGCACTGCAATCCGTTGTTGGCAAACCTGTAACACTGACAATGTGTGACCACTTTAGGAAAGTCATAAAGGAACAAGAAGTAAAGCCTCTAATGGACAGATATGTTGTGCGAACAAAGTCCAGTGACTCTCAAAGCTGGTCCTAGAGGCATTAAAAATGAAGGGAAGTA